ATCCAAATAGTATTACATGAAAATGTACAGCATTAAATGCATTTGTTAGAAAATAAGAAAACTGGGGCTGGGGATGTGGCTCAAGCGGTAGCGTGCTCGCCTGGCGTGCGTGCGGCCCAGGTTCGATCCTCAGCACCACATACAAAGATGTTGTGTCCGCCAAAAACTAAAAAATAAATACTAAAAATTCTCTCTCTCTCTCTCTCTTAAAAAAAAAAAAAAGACAAATTCAGTGCAAAAGCCCTGCTCAGTAAAAAAGCAAGTTTCTGGTTTCAGCATCTTTCTAAAAAAAAAAAAAAAGAAAAAGAAAATAAGAAAACTTTGGGCTGGAGTTGTGGCTCAGCGGTAGATCGCTTGCCTAGCATGTGTGAGGCACTGGGTTTGATTCTCAGCACTGCATATAAACAAATAAATGAATAAAGGTCCATCAATGACTAATAAAAATTTAAAAAAAAGAAAATAAGAAAACTTCATTAAGCAGTCAATTCTTTGAAAATATTTTTAAAATGTAAAATACCTGCTGGGTGCAGAGATATACACCTGTAATCCCTGCAGGAGGATTGATTGCAAGTTTGAAGCCAGACTGAGCAAATTAACAAGACTCTATCTCAAAATAAAAAGGCTGGAGATGTAACTCAGTAGTAGAGCATTTTCCTAGCATGTGCACAGTTGTGGGTTCAATACCCACCCCCACCCCTCCCCACCCCCCAAAAAAAGAAAGAAAGGAAGAAATGAATCCAGACATGGTGTAGGCTGGGTAGGGTAAAGGGAAGACTAATAAAGATAAAAGTAGAAAATGGATTTCAACTGTTGATACTAGAACTACTTTCTGGGAATAACTTGATAAGCTGAATAAAATACGAAAAACTTTTACTTGAAGACACCAGCATCAGAGAACAAACAAGGTAATGAAGAATTACCAACAATTATCAGAAAAACCCAGAGATAAATCAGGCATCTGGGAGAACTTTTCTATTTGTAGTATTTCCCATTTTCAGAAGAGGAAGCTGAGGGCAAGAACCTCTCAGGTGGGGTGAAGAAAAGCTGGAATCCAGGATCTCTAATATTTGAACTTAGGGTGGGACCCAGAAGGATGAAGGACTGAAGCCTCCCTCAGCTTTAAAGCATCGCAGGCCTGAAACTACACCAAGGGGTCCTGGATTGCAGTACCTTCAGACAACTGTCTGAAGCAGAAGTAAGTCTTCCCCCAAGGAAAACAAAGTTACCTTAAATCTCAGATAATTTCTACTAGAAACTTGAGATGTGGTGCTGAAGATCTAACCCAGTGCCTGGCACATGTGAGGCAAGCACTCTACTACTGAGCTCCAGCCTCAGCCCCTTGAATTATATTTTTTTAGATACAATCAAAAGTAACCAGGCCTGGAAGAAATATGGCCATGTGAACAAAAATCCCCAGAAATGACGAACAATACAAATAGTCTTACATGGATTCCGGATATTGGAGTTATTGGTCATAATTCTTAAAACAACTGTGTTTACAAAATTAAAGGAGATATAAAAGAGAAAATTAGGAATCTTGCCCTAAAACTGAGACTATAAAAAAGGACATAGGCTTTAACAAACTAATCTAAATTGAAAACTGAAAAATACAAAAATGGAAATTAAGAATTCAAAGGATATGTATTTTTAAAAGCTGGGAGAAAGGATTTTGAATGTTTTTGCCATAAAGAAATGATAGATATTTGAGGAGATATGCTACCCTGATTTAAACATTACACAACATATACATGTATCAAGACATCACATGGGACATATGTATAATTTTTTAAAAATTTTCTTAGTTGTTAATGGACTTTATTTATTTATATAAGGTGCTGAGAATTGAATCCAGTGCCTCACACAAGTTAGGCAAGTGTTCTACCACTGAGCCACAGCCTCTGCCCTAATTTTTATGTTTATTTCTTTACTTATTTTTATTTTGGGACAGGGTCTTGCTAAGTTACCCAGGCCATCCTTGAACTTGCAATCCTGCTGCATCAGACTCCCAGGTAACAAATATATTCTACAGCGTCCGGCTAACAGGTGCAATTCTTATATTTTTATGCATCAGTTAACAATTAATTAATTTTTAAAAAGAATTAAATGAACATTGTCTCATGCCCCAAATCCCAGCTACCAGGGAATCTGAGGCAGGAAGATCACAAGTTAGAGGCCAGTCTCTGCAACTTATTGAGACCCTGTCTCAAAAATTTTAAAAAGAAAAGAGGGCTGGAATTGTGGCTCAGTGGTAGAGTGCTCACCTAGAATGTATGAGGCCCTGGGTTCAATCCACAGCACCACATAAAAATAAATAAAATAAAAGTATTGTATCCAATTACAACTAAAATAAATAAAATAAATATTTTTTTTTTTTTTTTAAGAAAGAAAAAGGTCTGGGAATATAGCTCAATGGTAAAGCGCCCCTGGGTTCAATCCCCAGTACTGCAATCAATCAATCAATCAAAAAATTAATGAACTAGAAGAGACAAAAGAAGAGAAAAGGGGTTGGGGTGTATCTCAGTGATAGAGTGCATACTTGGCATGTACAAGGCCCTGCATTAGATCTCTAGAACCACACACACATGTACACACACAAATAATAATCATGATAAAGAAGACACAGACACAGTGAAAAAGCTCTAACACAAGTATAGGTTGAGTCATAGAAGAAGAGAAAGAATAGGAAAAAGCAATGTTTATACAGAAAAAACTCCCAAAGCTGATGAAAGATGTTTAGACACAAATTCAAGAAACTTAGCTGCTAGGCAGGCATTTTTAGGTGGAAGCCCAGAAGAAGGCCCTTCAGAGAAGTTTACAAGGAACCAGCCTGAATTCTAGAGTCCTTTAACTCAACACCACCCCCAAACCTCTCACCCGGGCCACAAATAACCTGGGAATGGAACCCAGGGCCTTGCTCATGGCTCTTGCTCTACCACTGGGTCAAATCCTCACCTTTTTATATTCATTCTTTTTAAGTGACCTAATATGTCTTTGCTCATCATAATACTAAATTCTCTGCCCAGAGGTGTGACTGGGGGTGGGGGGGTTGCACTTTTTTTTTTTTTTTTTGGCAGTACTGGGGATTAAATCTAAGGATGCTCTATGTCTGAGTTACATCCCCCTCTTTTCTTTTCTTCCCTCCCCCCTTCCTCCCTCCCTCTCTCCTTCTCTTTCTTTCTTTCCTTCTGAAATGGTCTCACTACATTGGCAAGCTGGCCTCCAATTTGCAATCCTCCTGCCTAAGTCTCCCAAGTTGCCAAATTGCAGAGTTCCTGACTACAGCATGTACCACCGTACTCCCCCCTTTCTTTTTTGTATTAGAGATTGAACCCAGGGGTACTTAACCACTGGGTCAAATCTTAAGCCCTTTTTCTGTTTTTTATTTTGAGATAGGGTCTTGCTAAATTGCCCAGGCTGGCCTTGAACTTGCAATCCTCCTGCCTCAGCCTCCTGAGTCACTGGAATTGCAGGAGGCACCTCCACATCTGGTGGCATGTTTTCTTTTAAATATGTAGTATGATCTCAAATTGAACACGCTAAATAATGTTCCCAACTCTACATGGGATGATGAATCTTTCCTATATGTGAAAATGTATAATTTTCCCTAGTAAAAAATCCCTTGCTTTCTAAAATTGTTTGGGTAGAATACTGCTTTGAGAGTTGTCTCTAACACTGTCATTACTTGCTGCAAAAAGTCTTTGTTTATCCTTTTTTTTTCTCCTGGTTGTGCTTATTGGCTTTGCAACTCACCCTGGGGTGAACTTGGGTTACAAAACTATGCACCCTAGTATAAACAAAAAGTTTACAACCAGTCACATCAACTGTCGGTCTAATTGTTTGAATTTAAGAGGTCCCTTTTTCCTCTGGCTGGCTACAAACAATTCTTTAGATGTCTTTAAAGCCAGTTTTATTATCCTGCTGCATTCTTCATTCGTGGGCTAAATAACCTTTGATTCTGTTCTTATTTAATATTTATATGAGGTGTTTCTTCTTTGCAGTCCTGGGGATTGAACCCAAGAACTTTGCTTAGGCTAGGCAAGTGCTCTACCACTGAGCTACATTCCTAGACCTTTTAATTTTGTATTTTAAGACAGGATCTCCCAAAGTTGTGGAGGCTGACCCGGACCTTGTGATTCTTCTGCCTCAGCCTCCTGTGTAACGTGCCTGGCTGAAAACCATACTTTGAATATGCATGAAACAAAGGATTCATTAAACAAAACTTTTTCTTCTTACAGTTTTTTTTTTTTCCTTTTTGGTACTATTTTATTCTTTTCATTTTATTGAAAGTAATCTTTGTCACAACCCACTAATGCTGGTCTCAATTTGTAGTTTGAAACATCCTGCTTTAGCGGATGGGCTGGGGAGGTGCATTTTAAAACTTCACTAATATTTAATTTCTTTGTTCGTTTTCCCAGCTCCAGGGGTCAGATGACCTTGGCCGCTGGACCTTTTTGGCTTTTTCCTAGCTCAGCGCTCCGATTCCAGGATCTCTGCTGGAGACCAATAGGAAAAGCCAACGGGGCAGCCGAGCCTCGGAGCCGGTTCCAGGTCGGTCCGGGAAGTGCGGACCGCTGGGGCGATGGCGCCCGGCCCGCCGGCGAAGGCGGATCTCACGGGGTGGGGCCTGCAGCTCCTGGAAATGGAGGGCAGGACTCCCGCCCACGGTTCAGAGCCAGTAAAAAGTTTTCCTCGGGCGTCTGCGGCAGCGTGGGCTAGGGAGGAGGTGGGGGAGGCAGGCAGCGCCGGAGCGCGGTGGGTCCCGCCAAGTCACCTTGTCCCCGGGCCCGGAGCTTCCATCCGGAGAAGGTGGCTGCAGTGTGTTCGCTAGGCTGCCCTTTGCAAGGGTGGGGACCGCGACAAAAGTGAACAGGAAGGAGCCTGGCCCGCCTTTCCTTGGCCCGTCCCCCACCCCCACCCCCGACCCCCACCCCCCGGGTCACCCCTGCCTTTGAATCCGCCCCTCAGTTCAGCCTCCCAGGCTGGCCCGGGTGCCCGGCCTCCCCAGTATCATCCATGGCTGCGCTGGGCTGCGCGAGGCTGAGGTGGGCGCTGCTGACCACGCGAGCGGCCGGCCGTGGCCTCTGCCCACACGGGGCCAGAGCCAAAGCTGCGATCCCTGCCACCCTCCCGGCGGACGAGGCAGCCGAGGGACCAGGAGCCAGTCCTGGCGATCGGCGGCGGCTGCGAAGCTTGGACGAGCTCCCAAAGCAAGGGCAGCTGCGCTTTTTTTTCCAGCTGTTCGTGCAAGGCTATGTACTGCGCTTGCATGAGCTCCAGGTAACCAGGTGGGGACATGAGACCTGAGGGTGGGAGTGGGGCAATGGGACCCAGAAGCTGAAGGTGAGGGAGACGTTGGACAAAAGTAAAGGAGACTTAGTTAAGGAAGTTAACTCTGGGCCAAAAGAGGCACGTCACAAACTGGAAGTTTGTAGGGAAAATGTGCGCATGAGTGGTATGCATAAGAAAGGCATCAGCAAGGAGGAGACTTGGAGGCTAAACTTCAAGTGGATAGGCAAGGTAGCCTGTAATGCCAGCCTGTAATGCCAGCTACTCTGCAGGCTGAAGCAGGAGGATAGCAAGTTCCAGGGCAGCCTCAATCACTTGGTGAGAACCTGTCTCAAAATACAAAATAAAAATGTCTGGGGGTGTAGCTCAGCGGTAGAGCACTTTCATAGTATGTGTGAATGTTAGGTTCAACCCCTAGTACCCTCCAATAAAAGAAGGGGGACAGAGGTTGGGAGTGAGGAGAGCTGTCTTGGGAAGAGAATGACAGATGGAAGTGTACAAACTGTCAGAGGATGCAGAATCATCTGCAGTGATGTTGGCTGCCACAGTCTTCCAAAGCAACTAACTTAGGGAGGATCACAGCTGCATCCTCTGCACTTGCTCATGTGGCTGTGTCTCTCTTGAGGTCCCTGTTGGATTCACATTTCTAAGGCTTGGGGGACAGATCAGAAGGTACTGAGAGAGGGTTAAGAAATTACTCCCTGTGGATCTGACTCCTTTAAGCCCAGAAACCAGAGTCCCATGAAGTTCCCCTTCAATTCAATTCTCTAGAAATATGAAAGGCCCAGTGAATGCCCAAGGCTATGGACTGAGAATTTCTCAGAGGGAGAGTGGCTCTAGATGAGCAGCTACCAAAGAAATTCTAGATGGCCTTGGGATGAGGAAGAGGAAGCTGGAGAAACCCCAGGATGTGTGGTCTTTTAAAGGAGAGCCCCCAAAGATCTTGGATCACTCGAACCTGAATTGCCCCATGGAAAATAAATTAGCCCTCCCCATTACAAAGGCTGGTGTAAGTAAAGAGCAGAGTGTTGTACATCTGCAAAACCCAATTGCTCTACTGAGGAAGAGGATGTGTTTCAGTGACATACATGATACAAATCAGTTAGAATTGGTTTGGTTACTATTCATACTGGCTTAAAATCTGAAGCACTTTTATATGCTCATAGGATGAAAAACTTCAATAATTGAATGTCTTTCAAGGGTAATTTCTCTAGAAATTTGTCTTTGTCTTGTGTTGTTGTAACAAAGTATCCAAGTCTGGGTACTTTGTAAAGAAAAGAGGTTTACTGAGCTTGCAGTTTGGGAGGATAAAAGTCCAAGGTCTGCAGCCCCATCTGGTCAGCTCTGGTATCTCTGTGTATGCCACGGCAGATGGCATCACATGACAGGAAGGGTATGCCAGAGAGAGGTCAAATAGTGAGAGGATGCAAGAGACTAGGAAGGAGCCAGGCTTCCTCTTTCATAAAAACTCACTTTTGTAGGAACTAATAATTCCCCCTGTGAGAGCATCCCCCTGTGATAGTCAGGACCCAAACTTCTTCCACTCAGCCCCTCTTCTTAATCCCACCACCTTTCAGTACTGCTACATTGGGAACCAAGTTTCCAACACACAAACCTTTGAAGGGACAAAGCACACCCACTACTGGCCCGTGAAGTTCATGTCCTTTGCACAATGCATTCATTCAGGCCAATAGTTCTCGGAATCTTAATTTGTTTTGAGTATCAACTCAAAAAAGTCTGAAGTTTCATCTGAGACACAGGCAAACTTCTTCCAGATGTGAACCCGTAAAATAAAAAACAAGTTTTGTCTTTCTCCGATACAATGGCAGGGCAGGGATAGGATAAACATTTCTATTCTCTGGCCCCCAGCAAGACTGAAACTCTGCAGCATAGACATTAAGTCTTAAAAGCTCCAAGTCCTACGTCCTGTGCACACTGGGGTGGGGAATGGGCCTCTTAGGCAGCCCTGCTTCCCCCTCCCCCTTTCCTGCCCCAGACTTCCTGAATTCCAGAGGCTGATGCAGGAGGACAGCTGGGTTTCATGCAGGCATTTGTGACCTTCTCAGGTGAGTGCTGCATGCCACTGGTTGCCCTGGCTGTCTTGGGTCCTGGCTATGGCTTCATCACTTTCGTGGCTCTGTTGAGCATTTTTTTTGAGGTACTGGGGATTAAACCTGGGTTGTTCTACCACTGAACTACATCCCTACCCTTTTCCTTTTTGATTTTGAGACAGGGGCTTACTGTATATATATTTTAAAGTACCCACACAGCTCCTTCTGTATTTTGCTTAGAAATTTCTTTTGCCAGATACCTATTAAGTCATCACCCTAAATTTGGCCTTTCACAAAGCTGTAGGGCATGGATGCAATTCAGCTAAGTTCGTTGCTACTTAATAACAAGGATGGCCTGTTCTCTGATTTCCAATAAGATATATTTTTCCTTTTTATTTGAGACCTTGTCTGCATGTTCTTTACTGTCCTCATTTTTATCATCATTGCAGTCACAACAACTTAGGCAATCTCTAAGAATATCTAGCTCCTGGGCTGGGATTGTGGCTCAGTGGTAGAGTGCTTGCCAAGCATGTGTGAAGCACCGGGTTGGATCCTCAGCACCACATAAAAACAAATAAATAAAATAAAGGTATTGAATTCATCTACAACTAAAAAATATTTTTAAAAAAGAATATCTAGCTCCTTCCAAGTCTCTTTATTTGCATCCTCACCAGAATTGCCCACAGTGCTTTGTTTAAATAAAAGACCCATTGACGACTCCAAGCTCTTCCAACCCCTGCTCATTACCTAGTTCAAAAGCCACTTCCATGTTCTTAGGTATCATCATAGCAACAATGCTACTCAGTAATAATTTTCTGCCTTAGACCATTTTGTGTTGCTGTAATGAAATACCGGAGGCTGGGTAACTTTAAAGAAAAGAGGTTTATTTGGCTTATAATTCTGAAAAATCCAAAGAGTATGAGGTACCAGTGACTGGTGAGGGTCCTCTTGGCTGTGCCATAACATGGCGGAGAAGTAGGAGAGGAGGCAAGTATGTGTGCGGAGAGAGGTCACATGGCAAGATAAGAAGAAATAGAGCTGGGAGAGGCTAGCTCTGCTCACTGGAACTAAGCTGTTTCCATCATGAGGGTGGTTATGACCCAGTCACCTCCCATGAAGTTTTACTCTTTTCTAAAAAATATTTTTTAGTCGTCAATGAGTCTTTAATTTAATTTATTTACTTACATGCATTGCTGAGGATTGAACCCAGGGCCTCACACATGCCAAGCAAGTGCTCTACCGCTGAGGCATAACTCTAGCCCATGAAGTTCTATCCTTAAAGGTCCCACCACTTTTTAATACTATTAGTTTCAGAACCAGGTTTCCAGCACATGAATCTCTGGGGATCAAGATATAATCAAATCATAGCAAGAGGCATGAAGTCATCAAGCTACAGTTTATTTTTCTGCAGTTCTTTTGGCTCTGCTGTCTTGTAGAAGTTGGTTGACTAGGTTGGCCTGGGTTAATTGCCCATCCTGGAGTCCATCATAATGGCCAGAACAGAGAGAGAGACACATTTTAATTAGCTTAGCCCTATGCAGCTTCACTCCTAAAGTGAGGGTTGAGGCCCCCCCACCCAAACTGGGTGGCTCCCACCCAAAAGGGAGAAGAGGAAGGGGTGTCAGGGTAACCAACTTATGAAGTCCTTTGCATCCTTATTATTTTTTTTTTTTTTAAAGCAGAAGTGCTGAGGGCATAGCTCACTGGTGGAGTACTTGCCCAGCATGTTCCAGGCCTTGGATTTGGTCCCCAACATGGCTGAAAAAAAATCCCCCCAAAACCTCACAAAACAAACACAGACAAAACTCCCCACATTATCACACATAAAAATAATACAGTCATCTTAGGGAAGCATTGAAACATTTAAGGGAACTGCCAAACAATGATGTTAACAGTGCCAGAGGGACAGGGATATAGCTCAGTGGTAGAGTGTTTGCCAAGCTTGGGAAGGACCTGGGTTCAATCCCCAACACACACACACACACACACAAAAAAAAAAAAATAGAAAAAAGAAACATTGACATATGTTAAATCTCTACCAAACTTTTGTCTTTCAAAAATGTTGTTCTGAGAATTGTGAGATTTATCTGCTCTATAGCTCTGATTGTGGGATTGTGGACTACCTGGACTGGTCCCTTCTGTGGACCCCGATTGCCTGAGCACATATTTGTCATTTCATGTATCATGTTTCTTGTCATCACCTGTTTAATGGCTTAGAGACTGGGCTGGTAAAGCTCTGGGAGCTGAGCCTACATCTTTTCCACCTGTGTCCCTGCAGCACCAGGCACGGTCTTAGGTTTCAGGAGTGGCAGTGGGCAGTGGACGCTCCTAGTGGTAAACTTCTGTGACACTTGTCTTCCCAGCTCCCTGCTCTGGGTAGTTTGACCTAAGATAGAGTGAAGGAGATACAGTGAAGGAGGAAGGCAGACCGGTTGAGCCTGGCCCTTCAGTTCTTAGTGTTTCTAGTGCAGAAATTAAATTGTCGGGGTGGGGGTGGGGGAGATTGAACCCAGGGGCATTCTACCAGTAAGCTATACTCCAAGCCCTTTTTATTTTTTTTTCTTTTGAGTCAGGGTCTCACTAAGTTGCCAAGGCCAGCCTCAAACTTGGCAATCCTCTTGCCTTGGCCTCCCTAATAACTTGCATTATAGGCACATGCCATCACACCTGGCTCAGAAGCTAAACTTTGTCAGCACAATCAGCATGGGCAGATTATTGGGGATTGACTCACATTGACCAAACCCACAGAAACAACTGTGTGGACTGGAGTGCCCCCGTGTTTATTTTGTGAGGTGATCAGTCCCCTCAGGGTCATATTACTCTGTCATGCAAACATGCCCTGTTCTGGTTCTGTATTATTGCATAATGAACTATCCCCAAATATAGTGGCTTAAAATAACAAACATTTTGCTGGAGTTACAATCTTGTGGGTCAGGAATT